GTAACAGTCTAATTAGTTGTTTGTTCACAGAGAAATCTCAAAAAGATGTTGCACCATCAATAAAAAACATGTTTGAGGACAATGCTTACACTCCTCATCAAGCAATATCTCCTTTACCAGAAGTTAATTTGCAAGTTAGTTTTCTTTCATTCCTTTTTACGTAAAACTTATGTTAAATTATTGTCATATTATTAACTCATCTTAAATTTTCTTTTTCCTGTAAGGATGTTGATTTTGATTTGGATATGAATGAATCAAATGTCTCACTTTTAGCCTTGTTACAAAGTGTTGGGAACACAACACAGGTATTTTAACAATCTGACTTTCTTGTATAAGAAGTGTGGAGAAATACTGCAACTATAGTTAATATGTTTAAAACTTTTAATTCTATTTTTATTTTTATTTTGTAGCAATCATCTACAAGTACGTGGAAATCAGGAGCAAAGTACAATTGAAGTACTATAGTGTGGCTCGTTACTTTTCACCAGCTGTTTAGAAATTGAAGCTCTTATATAGAATGATTTATATGAAGTAGTATTTTGAGACATTCGAGAAGCAGAAGCTAGCGAACTAGATTTCTTTGATTTTTGGATAGAAGAATTTACATACATTTGTGGAGAATGGTTGATTGCTTTTGTTGAATAATAATTTTTTTATATTATTAAAACCCATAATTACCGTTGCTTACATAAGCTTTACTTTGCTTCTCCATAGTAGTCTTCTCTAGTAAATCTCACTACATTTTACTTGGATGCGATCATCAGCAGTGGCATGTTCACCCAAAATACCGCCAAGATCATCACAGAAGGTATCTTCTGTAACTTAGAGATACATTTTTCATAAATGAGGATTTCTTTGGAGCTTCTGCCAATTTTTCCTTATCCTTTGTGGTGAACAATGAGAGTTTTTAGTCAAAATTGTCCCTTATCTTTGGGGTTAGGCCTATATTTATCCCTTAAATATACACATGAGTACATCAAGTTGAACTAACGGTCCTTCAGTTTGTGAATTGACTGGGTGAAAAATTTATTTAACTTCATTGTGAATTCTTTTTCCCCGTTCACTTTTCTCGTTATTTTTATGTCTCCGCCTATTTTGTTTAAGGAGCATGTGCAAAATATATAATGATTAACTATGGTTAAGTATTAATAGTTATAATTAAATAAGGCGACATGTGGCACTTTTAATTAGTTGGGTGTATACACCCGGTGCGGGTAAGTTTTTACCCAAAATATTGGAAAATATAAGATGAGGTAATATCACTTTTTCCATCAAAGCTATATATGTTTTTTAATACAAAAATTACAAGACTTTACCTACTCATACAAAGGTCACAATTGCCGGAAACCTAACTTTCCGATGCAATAATTTTGTTACTCCACATTGTCTGCTTTTATTTTTATCAAAATAAGAAACATCCATTGGAGGTCATCGCACATTCAAGAAGACAATAGAGAGAAGAGAGAAGGAAGAAGAGATAATGCGAAATGAAATTCTGATATATTCATTCAGATGACACAATACATATATATACCCATCACTCAACTCACACGTGCACTTAACTAATTAACCTAACTGAACACGTGACTCCTAATACACCCCCCCCAAGCTGGAGGGTGGTATACATCTAACACTCCTACCTTGGATAATAGATAATGTTGTTGTACTGCCCCTAATCCTTTTGTGAATAAGTCTGCCAGTTGTTGTTTGCTCCCCAAGTATTCTGGTTGTATCAGCTAATTTTTGATATTTTCCCTAGTGAAATGACAATCAATTTCGATG